AAATACAATATGGGTGCTAGGTATCTGGAGTGGGACACCTCACAAACATATTGACACAGTTTTGGCAGTAGTAGTACATAGCTGTCTCTACTCAGCTGCTCCCCTTCTCTCACAGAAAGATAAAAACAGTAGATGCAGTTCCTGGCATGCGCTTTTAACAGGAAACTCATGAGATATCATTCTGCTACTGGAGCAGAATTTTCAGTACATTATTTCTTTTCTTATGGAAAGGTAGCTGTCAGGAGAATCCTGTCAGATAGTCATTGTAACATGAACCCACAGAATGTGAATTTTTTGTTTCCATGCTGAGCGTAGGGCTGCTTGTAACTAGTTTATGAGATAAATTAGGCCAGCAGAAAGGCAGTAGAATGACTAGATCACAGGAATGGTGCTTCATTCAGATATAGAGATCCCAAAACTGATTTCAGCCACCTCTCTTTGCCTTCTAGTCCACAGTGCTCTTTGTAGCAAACATTGTCTGATGCTGTTGGTTCCCCTTCTGCCCTCCTTCAGTAGATTTGGATATCTATTGTCATACTTTACTTTTTAGTTTATAGTCTCTTATTCCGATTTACTTCAGAAGTGAGTCCACTATGGATGGAACAGCATCAAGGATGAAGTCCATACTGATGCTATTCAGTGGCATGTCATAGTCAAGAGACTCTAATGATTTGATTTACAGTTTTTGAGGCATTAAAAAAAAATGTTTCATGACTGTTTTGTCAGCTTGTTTCAAATAATATGAGTAATTAACATTAAATTAATATGTTTATAAACACAACCCTTTTACACCAAAGTCTGTTTGGAATACAGCTCAGTTTATGATCCAGCAATCAGCTGATTGATCCCTAGCCTGTTTCCTTGTTGGAAAATGTATAGCTATATCATAAATGAGCCAAACAGTTTTTGAAAATGTAATGTATTTTCAAGGGATTTGAAGGGGATATTAGCTGCTCCTCTGCAAAGTGATGACTTTCAACAAGTGGAGATAATGATGCCTGTGTTATAGTGCGGAAATTAAAGTTTGCAGCAATTGGTACTACGTCCATCAGCGAGGAAATACCAATCTGAACTTTCAGTCCTTCAGGGTAAGTTAATTTGCTCAAGCAGTCCTAGTAAGAGTACATGCTTTGGTAAAGCTGCTCAAAAGTTATGCAGCACAGTGTTCTCTTGTTTTACCTTTACCCTGTTCTCAAACCTGCGTAAAACCTTGGGGGTGAAGGGCTGCTGAAATCTTAATGTGGCATCTTGTGCATACTGCACACCCAGCGCAGCTGAACAATCAGGCCAGAAGTTTTGTCTATAAATCAGGTGTTCCCTAATGGGTTTGTTATCAGGATCAGTGAAAAATGTAACTGTTTAACTTAAAATGTGATTAAAAAGACTATTATACCTAACCTGAGAAGGCAACCTTCAAGAGCTTGTTAGAACAACTATTTCAGAGCTGACTATGTAAACAAGGGTTAGAAGAGTGGAATGAACAGAGACAGGCAGGGCAGTGTGTGACATACCCCCTTGCTGGCTGAATGTGCTTTCCTGTGTCTTCTAGTAATTCTCTGGCTCTTCTTCAATAGGAGATGTTTGGATCTCAGAATTCCCTTCCCAGAATTTATTTGTTGGCACTGTATTTTGTGTGAAAGCAGAATTTTCCATACCCTTGCATACTTAACCAAAGAGAGGTAGTGCTGTTTTCTGATCTCTTCATTGTAGCTATTCTCTGGAGTTAAGGGAACATAAATAATATAACTCACAAGTATGATGGATAAAATTTATAGCCATTAGAGAAAGGCAGAAGCCTCTCTTAATACTCCACTACTAGGAAACTGTGCTGGTCTCAGCCTGGTATTTGAGTAAAAGTGCTAGAGGGCAGAGAGGAAAAAATAGCAAGGAATTTCTTTTCTTTCTGTAGAAAACACGGTGTTGTCCATGCATCCCTTTCTAGAGATGACCTGTAGGATTTATAGTCTACCCACTTTCAACAAACCAGTAATTTCTGTTTATCTAGCAACATCCTGTCTAGCCACTGACTTGCAGCTGAGCAAATCCACACAACCCAACTGTGCATCTGAAGAACCTAATGTAAAATCTGAACTATAATGTCCCAAGAATTAGAAGCAACTGTTGTCTGCCTGCAGCATAATATGAGGTTATAATAGCAGCTGTAAATAATTCTAGAGAAAGCTGCACAGAATCAAATAGCTTTCGATCAGGTCCTAACAGTTTCATCGTCTTTGTTAAAGACACGTTGGGTAATTAAACTTTAAATGTATGACCGAACCTTTTTTCCATGGATGGCAGTGTCAATTTTAATGTTGAAATTACAATGACCATAGTCAGGCCAATGGTGATGTTGACTTAAAAATACTGGTATAAAACATCACTCATGTTAAAAAAATAAAAATAAAATAAATAAAAACACCCAACCAAAACCCACACAAAGTTAATGTTTATAGACGCTTAAGAGAGAATTAGGATAATTGGATTGAATGAAACCTCTCTAAAGCCTGCATTTTCACTAAACATTTATTATCTTACTTATAACAATGTTAAAATAATCCATTGATTTTCACAAAATTTGTAAGATTCTTTAAGCTTCAGATGCTTAAAATCTAATATATCTCTTTCATAGACAGTCAAACAGTGATTGACTAGATAATAAAGTATACATGGGGACTAGTAATTACATGGCATCTTTTGACAGACATTCTTAATAGAGGTCCTTGAATTCTCATTTAAGAACTGTAGATAAGCTTTCATTTTATATCAGTATCTGAAGAAAATCATACCAGTCTTTTTTTTTTTTTTAAAAAAAATCTATTTTTTTAAGGCAAACGATGAGGTATTGTGAGAAATGCAGAACTCTGCCAGAAATACAGCCTCTATCATTGTGCACTGAATTTTACCATCAAGCTATGAAACTTTAATAGCTGGTAAAAATGTAAAGAAAAACGTGCGAAGCAGTACAGAAAAATCATTTGTTTAAAAACAGGTAACACAATTTCACAATCTGATTTACAGTTTAAAATCTAATTTCTGTGGGGTTTGTTAGCTTTAGCTTTGGTCTTAACTTACTGTTCTGTCAGTGTGCATTATAGTTCACCAGTCCTTTTTGAAAGATCTGTCATATTGTAACAAAAGAGGCTGCTTTAGAATAATTCAGTAAGTGAACTGAAGCACCCTTGATTTTGGCCGGTAATGAGTAATAAAAATGACTTAGATTAGGAGCAAAGCTGTCTGTCTAAGAACCATATTAACTTAAAATGTTCTCAAGTCATATAGGATTGTGAGAATGCCAAGTGTTTGGCTTAGTAAATTTACTTGAAAAGAATTCTTTTGGGGAGAGGAAGAAAGAGGTAGTACAGGTCTTGCTGAAACAGCTGCATATGAAAGGGTGATCTTTGGATTAGAAAGTAAATGAGAAAAATTCACAGGAATTTAACAAAAATTTTTGAACCATATTGTAAGGGAGGCAAGGATTAAGAGCTTATAGGGGAAGAGAAAAACAGAAGGGGTGCATAAAACTCACAGCTCTATAGAGAAACACATAATCCCTTTTCTGTGTGTTCAAGGGTAGATTCAGTTTACTCTCACCGTTTTGTTTTGCACTGTTGAATGCAAGGGAACAGCAGAGTAAACATGAACAAAACCACTGTGCATTTAAACTAAATGTTAGTTACTTCTGTAGTTGAAAAGGTTCCTATATAAGTAAAAATAGCATGGCCTTTCTTTTTTAATTTCTCTCTCTGAGGCTATGCATCACTAAATCATGCAGATGAATCCCTGAAAAAGTCTTGTATTCAAACTGTAACAGTCAGATGCAAGGTTAGTAATGGCATATGCAATTCAGTATTTCTGCAAAATAGTAGTAAACATAAATGTTATTCCCTTATTGTACAGTTATCAGAAAGGTTATTTTTTCTGCTGGAATGCTTTTGGAAACATCAGTCTCTGCTGGTATGAAGAAATGCAATCCTGTTCAATAGGTAACAGTACATTCTAGAAGTACTGACCAGAAACTGCTTTGGTGATTTAAAATCTGAGAGAGTCTGACAGTTGAACTGATACTCTGGCCAGTATTTTTTTTTTCTGTCAATCTGTTTTTGTTAGAAAATTGTACTTTTTTATTAAATTGGGATGTAAAAGAGCCAGCAAGATTTTATAAGTAAAATTTCTAATGCTTAAAACAGAGGAATTGCTGAAAAAGGTACCAGATAGAATCATGAAAATTCTAGTCACAGACCATATGTTTCCATTTAGTTCTAGGAGATAGAGTTTGTCCAACCAAGGCTTCTTGGGGCATACGAGTCAACATTAAAAGGGAAGAAAACTGCATTTAAATGACTTCTTACAGGATCTAGGTAATGATGAAGTAGTCTAAAATTACCCCGTGTGCTGAAAAGCATTTTGAATATTGCAATGCCATATATCTAGTACTGAGAACAGCCCCCAGTTTTAAAAAGATAATTACAATTGGACTAGTCACCTGTACAAACAAAAAATGGATGCCCAAATTTCTCCGTTCTTTAAACTAAATAGGACAACAGAAAAAAGTCATTATCTTTCTAGTTATGTCAGATTTTTAATGAGGCAGAAAATAAATTATGTCATTGCTCATGTCTGTGGGCTAGGCTGCAGTTTATACAGTCCCTTTGCAAAAAATCCACATGGATTCAGTCTCTTATACCACTTCTCTCTGATTTACTGGAGCTCTTTGATTTCCTTAACTTCACAGCATTTTTGTACTGAAAACTAGCATAAATTGTTATTTCCTTACCCTTCATCTCCTCAACTAACATTTCAGGTCTCTTGGGAAGAACAGATTCTTGTATTTTTTGCTTATCCAGAAAATTGTTACTGTTTTCTTGGCAAAATCTCCCCTAATGAAAACATAAGCCTCTTCCTTTGCATTAATAATGAAGACCATCCCAGATACATTCCAGTACCTCTGAGCATCCCTTACACCATTTGAAGACACAAAGTCAGTTATTTCTGTGTCATACCTGTTTAGTTCTCATTTTGGAATCTGGCGACAGATTGTTGTAGGTATAATGTGCCTGTGTGACTCCACAGAAAAGGACTGCAACAATACCTAAATTCGGAGAGAAAACCAGAGTTAGCTGCCTCTGTTTTCTTAAGTTTTCCAAAAGGCTGCATAAAAAAGTTAATTAGATTGTTAGTAGCATTTTATAAGAAAAGAACTTTAAGATATAGAATCATAGAATAGTTAGGGTTGGAAAGGACCTTAAGATCATCTAGTTCCAACCCCCGTGCCATGGGCAGGGACACCTCACACTAAACCATCTCACCCAAGGCTCTGTCCAACCTGGCCTTGAACACCGCCAGGGATGGAGCATTCACAACTTCCCTGGGCAACCCATTCCAGTGCCTCACCACCCTCACAGTAAAGAACTTCTTCCTTACATCCAATCTAAACTTCCCCTGTTTCAGTTTGAACCCATCACCCCTTGTCCTATCACTACAGTCCCTAATGAAGAGTCCCTCCCCAGCACCCCTATAGGCCCCCTTCAGATACTGGAAGGCTGCTAGGAGGTCTCCATGCAGCCTTCTCTTCTCCAGACTGAACAGCCCCAACTTTCTCAGCCTGTCTTCATACAGGAGGTGCTCCAGTCCCCTGATCGTCCTCGTGGCCCTCCTCTGGACTTGTTCCAACAGTTCCATGTCCTTTTTATGTTGAGGACACCAGAACTGCACACAATACTCCAGGTGAGGTCTCTTGAGGGCAGAGTAGAGGGGCAGGATCACCTCCTTCAACCTGCTGGTCACGCTCCTTTTGATGCAGCCCAGGATACAGTTGGCTTTCTGGGCTGCAAGCGCGCACTGAAGCCAGCTCATGTTCATTTTCTCATCGACCAACACCCCCAAGTCCTTCTCCGCAGGGCTGCCCTGAATCTCTTCTCTGCCCAACCTGTAGCTGTGCCTGGGATTGGTCTGACCCAGGTGCAGGATCTTGCACTTGGCATGGTTTTATAAGGCATCTTTCAAACAAACTAGATTTTTGTTTTCTTTGCTAAAAGTCAGGAAGGTCTTGAGTCTTCTACATGGTCCATCACACATTCCACTGCTATGTATTTGGCTAAAACTGTAGAAAATTTCTTTTAATTAATACATGGTAGCATCTGACCATAATCTGACAGTTAGGCAAGACTAACATAATCATAACATGAAGGACTTTTGGAAAATTTTGGCAGAGACTGGTAAGCCAAAAATAATTTTCTTACATTTAAAAAAAATGTAATATTGGTCCAAAATGGCTGAAATCAGGGAAAGTCATTTCAGTCTGTGCCTGATTTTTAGCCTTATCATAAACTGTGTGTAACAGTGTGCAAGGCAGACAACACAACATTGCTCATAAAGTGATACTATGGCAACTGTGAGATACTTTGCACAGAATGACTAGGTCAATTTCTATAGCCATGTGGCAGTAATTATACTTCCCAGCTTCTGGAAGGTCTTAAGGAGAAGGGCAGCAGGTTTGTCAGGAAAAATGACTCTGTATTGTAGTGATATTTCTTACTTTTTAAAACTTCCTCTCTGGCCCTGGTTCTAGTTCACTAGAATCATGGAGTAATGTCACTGTAATGCAGTATTATAATTAAAGTAGCTGATAAGAGTGTAACTGCAATTTTGTGTGAGTTCCGGACACTGGTAAGGCAGGAGGAACCCACACAGGGAGAAAATAGAAAACAAACAAGCAAAATGTATCACCAGTAATCATACATAAATGCCCATGGAGAAAGAAAGCTCTATGCTTTCCTTAAACTTGGGGCATGTCTACATAGACAATTATTTACGCAACAGCTCAGGGCTTGTTCGTGTCCATTCCAATCATCATTCCCCTGGAAACCTCCACATGCATTTCCTGAAGCATGTGGAGCATGCAAGTTCTGCTCAGTTTCTGTCTAGTTTTGCAAAAAGAGCAGAAGAACAATGACTGGTTTTACGCAAAGCCAGACTGCAGTGTGATCACTGCACACCTGTGATCTCTGGGGTTCACATATAGCCAGTTTTCTGCCATCCATCCCACAGTGCTTTAGCTCTTGTGCCTTTCAGCCCTTCTATTCACTGCTTCCCCTGTGAGCTCTAATTAGCATTTTAGTTCTGCTTCCTCATGGGCTGCTCTGCAAATTGTTAGGAAATATTTAGCTCCTAGGCTGCTCACTTGTACTGAGATAACACTGATGAATCCAAGGAAACACACTGAGGCGATAAAGAAAGCAAAAAGATACCCATCCGGGTTTAGGCAATATCCATCCTTGTAATATGCAGCAGCTTTCTAGGCATTTATTGGGTTAAATTAGCATGAACCAAAACATATAAACCAGTACTGAAAGCAAAAAGCATGAATTACAATTGTGAAAATAATCCCAGTCTGTGCCTTCAGTCCTGGACTTGAAATTGGGTAAGGCTTCCTCCATCTGCTCCAGGATGGTGACTCTCCTGAATTTACAAAGGCTGTCAAGAAGAGGCTCAGTGAGGGGGCAGAATCTACAGTGCTGCAGGCTTTAGCATAGCAAACCTGATATAAAACAATCTGCTACTTCAAAAGGATTAATAGAAGCAGGCCAGGCTTCACATGGTCACAGGAAAAAATGGATGGTAATGTGCTGAGCAAGTATCAGGGGAAAGTACTGGTGCCTCAGTAAGTTCTTTAACAGGTTTATCCTCCTCCCCTAAAGCATTGTACAGATAAGGAAACATGGCGAAGGAAAAATTTAGACAACGCTGAAACTACTTCATTGAGGGGAGTGTGTGAATGTGTGTGTGTGTACTACACATTGCCACATATCAGTTAAAGTAATTAGTACCTTACCATGCTTTTCTTATATTTCTGACTCTCTTTGGATTGCTAATCATGAAAGTATTGTCCAATAAAATCCAACTTCCTTTACTTGCAAGCCCCTCTTGTTTCTGGGAAGAACTGAAGCCTGGCATAATATGCCTTTGATGGAAGAAAAAAGTACGGAATAAAAAAATTCTGAGATGAATTTGGCACAAGGGATAACTGCCATCAGAAAGAAAATGAGAAAGCAAATCTGTTTTTTCCCCCCACAAACCACAATGGACATCTTTGCTTCTGGGTTCTCTTTATATTGTAAATTTACCTGTACTACTTCTACAGAACACAGTCTCTGTAGCCAAGAGAAATTCCGCTGAGCTTTAACTTCTGTGCCTTTGTTGTTTAATATTTATTTTCTTATGTCTGTTTTGATATTTATTTTTTATAACTACACTAAGACTTTTCTTCACAATGTGGGGAGTAGTGAGATTGTTACTTCCTAAATACATTCCAGGAAGATCATGTTTTTCTGAGGTCTAATTGTTCTTTTCAATGCATCTAAATCTTTTTTCTCAGTAAGTGTATTTGATTGTGCAGAACTGATCTGGGGAGTTTAAAAATTCTCAAGGCATTAATAATGTGCAATGGGATGCTCAAACAATGAAATTTCAGTAAAAAAAAATACAGCCAATCAGTAATGTTGCTAAGTATCACTGGGCTCAGTAACACAACTGGAGATAAGAGTTTCTGATTTAGTTTCTCCTAGATGAATCATCATGCCAAGTCTTGCATTTTTAATATTGACTATTAAGTTCCACTATGATTATAAAATGGTTTTTGACTGCTAAGAAACTGTTAGTTAGAGGTAGTGAGAGAACTGAGTGACATGAAGAATAAAGTAGCTTAAATCTAATTTTACAATAGGAATAAATGATCTGAACCGTGCAATTATGCAAGTGTAGAAACCAGATACCCTGTTTCCAGGGAAGACCGGGGGAATGCAGTGGAATATTTCAATTGCAGCAGTTGAAGGCTGAATATGCACCAGCCATGCCTCTCACAATGAATGGTTCATTAAAAGGCTTGGAGAAAATTGTTTGTAATGCATTGCCATAAAAATGATTGCTTAAAAGTAATGACCAATTACATGTTAATGCAACAACAAAGGATAGAGAAGTACCTAAAGAGGCAAAACCACAACTTTTTCGTTAGAAGGAAAAAACAACCTGGCTCTCTTCATAAGGCTATCAAAGCTGGATTTTAAAGTTAGCTGGGTATCTAAATATTGTATGAATGGCATATGGCAGATTAATTAGGTAATTAAATTATTGCAGGCTTTCTTTCACAGAGAAACAGGTAAGACCAAACATGATAATATTGAGATTGGAAACAGAAAGTATTTATTAGATGCAGGGAGGTGGATAAAGTGAGATGGTCCTTTGACCGGTTCTTATTGCTCAGTGCTATAATTTTGGGATGTGGAGACTTAGCTCACATTTTCAGTGCTGTCACATTGTTTCATTTTTAAGTGGCAAATTTAGCAATTACTAAGATACTTCGTTCTATAATTGCTGATTTATTTAATTACTAACCTAAAATAAGCAGGGAACATTTATAATGGAAATGTGTGATTGCTTGTTAAGTGCAATACAGCTGCTTGTGTTTATTAGTGAAGTTAGTGAATTTTTTCACTAACTCACAATAAAATGATTATAGTCATGATAAACTTTCACCTGCAACTCAAACTCTTTGAAAAGGTTTTATTAGAAATAAAATCCTAACATTATTTTTTTCTTCTTGCAACACAGAGAACTAGTGATAGGTTGTTAATACAACTAGAGAAATTATTCATACGTTACTTTTGCCAAATACTTGTAGTTGAAACTGTTGTTAGAACGAAAGCTTGTAATATCAAAAGATAATATAGGATAAAGGAGTAACTTGTATTTTTAAAAGCATTTTGCTGGCAGTGTGAACATTAGCATGATAGTGTAAACATTAATTTACAAGTGTTAATCTAAAACCAATTCCTATGTTGTCTCCAAAAGACAAATCTTGGTTTGGATAATTTTACAAATAGGCAAAATATAACATACCCTTGCTTTTCAATATCTAGTGCTAAGAGAGAAACTGTAAAAAGGTTTGGTTTTTGTCATAGAAGGCCAGCAGGTACTGTGTGCTTTTAATGCAAACCTGGAAGTGGCTGCCCACAATTTAAACTTCAGAATTTGCTAATCTAAGAGAATAAAACTGACATTATGTTTCCAGCTGTCAGGTCTTTTAGTGGTAAA